CAAGAAAAACTTCGATTTCCATCCAACGCGACAGAATCAGCTTCTGTTAAAATATGTCTCAAGTTTGAGCCTATTAAATGAAACCGATGAGAATATGTGAACTCGGACACGTACGAGTCAAAAATTGGTGTACGAGAATTGTTGGCCGAGATTTCAACAAGCGTGAAGAAAAATTAATTACGCGTGAATATGTTGCCTTCTCCAAGTCAAAATGATCCTGCATGTTGGATTCTTTTGAATGCTGAATTCATTGCCGCAGAAAAACATTCGAATGTTCATACAGAAGAAGGGGCTCACATATATATTATATATATTTATTTGAGGAGTCAGTGGGTTGAATAATTAATGAAATGGTGTGGGTTTTCTTTTGCCCCTTTCCATTAACTCTCTGAAGAGAAGCCGCAACAAAAGGGGAAGAATAGGTGGAGCTCCCACGTTACTTTCTATTGTTTTTCAACCCACTGAAGAAGACTTTCTCGTGCTGCAATAAATGATGGGAGGCATCTTTTGGTTATAAATGGAAGAGTTCTCTGAACGTTGAAATGTGTGTCCTTGAGCACCGAGAGAAGACAGAACTCTGAGACTTCACTGAGGGGTTGGGCAGAGAGTTCTTCGCGTGAGGGTTTGTTCATTGTAATTATAACCAAGTGATTTAGCTAGTTAAATTCTTGTAAGTATAATTTGTATAATTCCTTGAGTGAGATTTCACTAGAAATTATGAGGGACTAAATACTGAGTGAGCTATTGGGTGTAATTGGGGGCTGAGAAATACTGAGAGTGTATTTGAGTGCTCGAGTGATTGTAATCTCCGCTGTATCGCTTGTTTCTATGGTGGAATTCCGTGCTGCTCTCCCCGTGGACGTAGGTTTCGATATTCGAATCACGTAAATTTGGTGTTCGACTTCCTTTCCTTCATTCCGACTATTTTATCAAATTCGCTTGGCTATTATTCGCAACAATTGGTAACAGAGCCAGTGTTGGCTAACTTGAAGCAAATCGGTAACAATGGAAGAAGGAAAGGTGAGAATCGACCGGTTTGACGGGAAAGATTTTTCTTTCTGGAAGATGCAAATTGAAGATTATTTGTATCAGAAAAATCTGCACTTACCACTATTTGGAGAGAAACCGGAGTCAATGAAAGATTCAGAGTGGGAATGGCTAGATAGACAAGCGATGGGTGTTATTCGGCTGACGTTGGCTCATAAAGTCGTGTTTAACATCGTGAAGGAGACAACAACTGCGGGACTGATGAGAGCCCTGTCGAATATGTACGAGAAACTCTCTGCGATCAACAAGGTCTATTTGATGTGACGTCTGTTTCACTTAAAGATGGGCGAATGTACGTCGGTTGCTGAACATATCAACGAATTTAATGTGCTTGTTAACCAATTGAGTTTGGTTGAGATTAACTTTGAAGATGAGGTGCGTGCTTTGATTCTATTATTCTCATTGCCTGATAGTTGGAATACTACTGTTACTGCTGTTAGTAATTCCTTTGGATCAAGAAGCTTGGCATTTAATGAGGTTCACAATTTGATTCTAAGTGAAGACATTCGTAAGAAAGAATTTGGTGAACCTGTGCTTGCTGCTTTAGTAGGTGAGAGTAAAGGAAGAACTAATACTCGTGTTAGCAGGAGTAGTTTAAACATGAATAGACGAAGTCAGTCTAAGACTGGTGGGGTTGTCTGTTGGAATTGTGGCAAAAGTGTTGTCTTAAGCTGAAAGATGAAAAGGGTAAGGGAATTAGAGTTGAGTTTACAGGTGATGTTGCAGCTGTAGTTGAGAATAATTGTGATGGTGTCGATTGTATATTGTCTGTTACTGAGGATTCGTCATTTGATGGATGGATTATGGATTCTGGTTGTTCGTTTCACGCTACACCAAATAAGAACTGATTTATCACTTATCAGTGCACGGGTAGTGGTAAAGTACAGTTAGGGAACAATGCCGAATGCGATGTTGTAGGTGTTGGTGATGTTAAAATCAGAATGCATGATGGTATTGTGAGAACACTGACTGAACTAAGACATGTTGCAAGTATTCTTCAGAAGGTGGAGTTCTGAAGGTTGTTCGAGGTGCCCTGGTAATAATGAGAGGAATCAAGTATGGTGGCATGTATGAACTTCAAGGTGAGACAGTGATAGGTTTTGTCCCGGAGACGTCGGATGCATATGTTAGAAAGTCTAACGACTGCTCGAGAAAGAACCGGGTGTTTGTGCTGATGCACAAGTTTGATACTAATGTCAGGAACACGCGGTCGAGAGCTTTGATTGAGGTGGAGATAGGTAAGTCAATCAAGCATGTGCGGACTGACACTAGCATGGAGTTATGCTTGGAGCTAGTAAATAAATTCTACATGAAGAAGGGCATAGTAAAACACCGCACTAGTGCAGTAAACCACAACAGTTTACATAATTGATGAGTAGAAAATTACTAGAGACGGCCCATAAAATGATATCTAGTACTGGTGTTGCTAGAGATTCCTAGCGGACGCGTTTAGTATGTCAAGCTACCTAGTGAATAGATCCCCATCGACTGTTGTTGAATATCGGACTCACAATGAAGTGTGGTCAAGTAACGTTACTGATTATTTTATTTTTAGAATGTTTTATTGCCCGTGTTATTTTCGAGCGAGTGGTGGTAAGCTTGATGGGAGGGCAAGATGCATATTCCATGGCTATGCGCAAGGTGAGCGGAGCTATCAATTGTGGTGCTCGGATATAAATTCATCTGATGACAACAGAGAAGTTACATTTGACAAGTCTCCAGTACTTCTGGCTAGGAGTGTTTGTGGCAGTGTTAATACGGATATGGACGATGTTTAGCTCAAGGTGAAGTTGCAATAAAAAACTTCTGAGATAGCAGGTATTAGCGAAATAATCGACACAAATGATGCTTGTAGCAAGATGGAGCTTGTAGAGCTGACAGTTGCTGTAGCTACTGGATTTGACAAGGTGCGTGTTCGAGAGGTTATGTAGGAAAATCCTTATGGAGTAGCTAACTGTTCAGGTGGAGTTAGTGTCTTGATGAGGTTCATGGTTATGGCAAAGTTCAAGTGCAGCTTGGACTTGAAATCACTTTGTGGCGGTTGAGCCCATTGGGGCTGTGGGAGAGTAGCAGTGAGGTTTTCGCTGAAGCGATTATGACTTGGCTCAAACGTCAAGCTAAGATGGAGATTGTTAAAATATGCCTCGAGTTTGAGCCTGTTAAATGAAACCCGACCGATGAGAATGTGTGAACTCGGCCACGTACGAGTCAAAAATTGGCGTATGAGAATTGTTGGCCGAGATTTCAACAAACGTGAAGAAAAATTAATTACGCGTGAATATGTTTCCTTCTCCAGGTCAAAATGATCCTGCATGTTGGATTCTTTTGAATGCTGAATTTGTTGGCGCAGAAAGACATTCTAATGTTCATACAGAAGAAGGGGCTCACATATATATTATATATATTTATTTGTGGGAGTCAGTGGGTTGAATAATTAATGAATGGTGTGGGTTTTCTTTTGCCCCTTTCCATTAACTCTCTTCAGAGCAGCCGCACAAAAGGGCAAGAATAGGTGGAGCTCCCACGTTACTTTCTATTGTTTTTCAACCCACTGAAGAAGACTTTCTCGTGCTGCAATAAATGATGGGAGGCTTCTTTTGGTTATAAATGGAAGAGTTCTCTGAACGTTGAAGTGTGTGTCCTTGAGCACCGAGAGAAGACAGAACTCTGAGACTGCACCGAGAAGTTGGGCAGAGAGTTCTTCTTGCGAGGCTAAATATACCCGAGTAATTTAACTAGTTAAATTCTTGAGAGTATAAGTTGTATAATTCCTTGAGTGAGATTTCACTAGAAATTATGAGAGGCTAAATATTAAGTGAGCTATTGAGTGTAATTGGGAGCTGGGAAACATTGAGAGTGTGTTTGAGTAATTGTAATCTTCATTGTATCGCTTGTTTCTATAGTGGAATTCCGTGCTACTCTCTCCATGAACGTAGGTTTCGATATTCGGACCAAACCACGTAAATATTATGTCCGACTTCCTTTCCTTCATTTCAACTATTTTATCAGATTCGCTAGGCTATTATTCGCAACAGCTTCTATGACTGGAAAAGTTGGCGCACTCCTGAGTCAGTGGCTGCTCCTCTTTCGGTTTCCCTTGCATTGAATTCAAGCAATTACTCTCAAAACTTGTGCTGCGAAAAATAAGCAATCGGATAGAATAGTGAACAGAACAAGTAAATAAGTAGGACACTAGATTTACATGAATTGATCGATACAATTTACTTTATGGGAGAGTAGGATTCCACTATAAATCAAGAAATATAACAAAAATTATAACCACACTCTAGTTACTCGAACACTCTCAGTGCTTTACAGCCCTCAGTTACACCCTGTAACTCATAGGGCTTAGCTCTCAGAATTTCTTACATAATAATCTTTCAATCTTACAAAGGAATACACAAAATCTTACCCACAAAATTTTATCGGCTTCAACACCGGTTATTTTAGTCATGCTAATTGCACCAAACAAAGAACAATTACAAATCTTCCATCAGTTACGTAGTCTATTCATTGGGGCCTTTTCCCAAACTTTGGAAACTAGTGATAAAGAGTCAAACGTAAAACCGTGCCCGCTAATTTAAGGGTATATCAATTCTTATTGATCATGTTTCATTGGATGCACAGGACATCAAATGGAGACAGGCTAAGGGACGGCGGATGCATACTCCGAACCGTATGTAATTTACTAATTAAGATACCTCCAAGAAGAACTCTTGAGCTCATTCTCTTTTCTTCCACTCATTTCATGGGTTGACATCGGCAACACTGTTAACAAGATGTACAGAGTCCTCATCTTGCGTAACCACAAGTGGCAAATTAAGACCAGTGGAATTTCAAACATTTTGGAAGAAGTTTGCTGCCATGTTGTTGTGGACATGATCTCTTAAAGTGCGAATATAGATTGCAATTTACGTAGAGAAAGAATCTCCCAAAGAGATGGCTTATAAACACCAAATGTTCTGACAGATCCTCACAAAAGATACAGTAAAAGAAATAAAACATTGAACAGCAGGAGGGAAAGATACACAAGAAGCTTTTATCACCCCCAATGAAGCATGCTTAGCAACCCATCTGATCTCAAATACATAAAGCGTGGACCAACCTATCTATAGAATGTTACATAGCAAACCACTCAAATAATAGACCAGGCACTTGCTCCTTACTTTGTTAATAACAGGTGCCTGAAACTTTCGGCTCCGCTAATCCTTATTGAGACACGCTATCATCCCGTCCATGTACAAGATCACAACCAATTGGTCCTGCTTCAGCATCTGTTGAAGGAGGCCGCTCAACAGGAGCGTCTCGCTTGATGCCGGCATGGGAGACCAAAGCCCACAAGTGGGTCACGAACTCCCCACCAGTCGCCAAGTGCTCTGCGTGAGCTTTAGCATCGTCTGATGGAGCCACATACACCATGAGTTCCGCCCAAAATTTAGCCAATACCTTCCAGATGAATTTCGGATCTTTTAGTTCTTCCAGCAATTGCTGCCCTAACCGAGCACCCTGGTTTAGCACTCTACCAGTATTATTCCTTGTCCTACCAATCTCCTTCAATTTTCTAATTCTTTCTCCTCCAGTGTTGCACCCTTCGAGCAAGTTCCTTGATTCGAGAATGATTTGGTTGAAGACATACTCCGCGTCGTAAGGGTGATCAGGTAACAATCTTGGAGAGAACGCTACCAAGTAAGCAAGATATTTGGATAAGCTCGTGGCCACGAGAAAGTCCGATTCTGAAATTGGCACCTCGTGCTCGCAAATACTTGTGGCAATATGCCACACAAATATGACTTGAGTCTGCGTCTCAAGGCGACACGCCCACGAGAGCTTATTCACCTCATCGTTTAGTTTCAAAGAAGCTTCTCCATTCTTCAATCCAACTGAACAGGCTTCTCCATTCTTCGATTCACTGAAATTTGAAACTAAAGAATCAAAAACGGCTTTTTTAACTTCCAAACACAATTTGGCGGGCACACTTTGCTTTTGACCGTCCCTTATGTAATCGATATAAGCAGCTGTGAAGCGATTGTATAGCCACCTCGGAGGGGTGTAACCGTACGACTCAAGAAGCGAGTATTGGCGAAGTTTCCTTGCCCAAGGTTTCCATAATTGCGTCCGGCATAGTCGTGCTATCCGCTTCTCTATCCGTTTGTCCAGTTGCCATGATTTTTTTCGTACGTACTTGCATAGCAATAATACTTTTGCCCACTCCGAGGTTGCCATGAAGAAAAGCTGCAGAAACTCCAAACATATGAATACCATAAGAATTACCGACGTCATGAGAAGGTCGATGCTCAACCCGCCTGAAGTAGCCAGTTGAACTTCATCTTGGGGTCTTATCTTGTAGTAGCACAAGAAACTAAGTCCAATTGTCAACAGTGAACCAACGATCAATAGAAAGAGCTCCATCACCTTAAGGAACAAACGGCCTGGGTAGAAGATGATCCCATAGTTGGTGTAGAACAAATCATAAAGAAAGGAAAGCTCTCGCTCAGTGACCCTAAATGCGCGCTCGTAATCATTTTCTCCCTCAAGCATGTGCTGAATCAACTTCCTTACCTTTTTGTGAGCTTCTTTGGGCATTGAATAGCTGCAAAATCTTAAGGAGAGAAGCTTATAGAGCGAAAACGAGAGACAAATGTCCTTGAGCTTGCAATCTTTGTCCCCGTCTGTCGAGCTCAAAAGTGATCCTTCGCATGCCCACACCTTTTCGACCGTGATCACTTCATCCGTGATCTCCAATGACTTGCGGTAGTTCAGCGCTTCCATTTGTGCTACAGCTTTTCTCTCTTTCAACTTCTTGCGGTAGTTCGGCCCTTCCATTTTTGCTAGAGCTTTCCACATCTTGAATATTACTTCAACACCGTTTACCCATCTTTTCTCTTCCCCTCTCACAACATACTTGTATCCTTTCATCTGGATAGGGTCTGGCTCATGCGGATATAACTTGTGCTCAGAGCTCATGTAGTCGGCGATCAATTTGGTGGTTCTCTGTAGGCCATACACGCTCGCAGTCATGAGAGACAGTGCTCTTTCACCGACCTTTAACTGCCCCATTAAAAGTAGATACGAGACCCCCAACAGCATAGGCGAAGTGCTAGCGTACACGATCACCAACGTGACCAACCCGAAGTTCTTGATCAAATATTGCCAAGTATAGTTCCTCCACTGCTCGTTGTCCTCGAGTCTGTAGGCAGAGAAGGAGTCCGAGCACCCAAAGAAGATCATCAAGAAAGTGGCCCAAACCGGGAACAGTTCATTTTGGATAGACCCTTCGGTCATCAGACCAAGCGTGTAGGTGATGAGGTGGCTCGAGAGGGTGCACGCTGCCCACAACACCATCTTGAACTTTGTGTGCCAACGCCTCGATGAGCCGAAGATGGTGAGAAAGATTAGCAGCAAGGCCGTGAAGCACACAAGAATTTCAATCTCAGCAAGACTCGCCTTCGGAGTGTCAAGTTTCTTCGTGACCACGGTGGTCTCAGTGAGAGATTTGTTCACGAATCCGACTCCCATTCCGCTTGTTTGCAAGTCCCTCATGTTTGTGTATGGCAAAAGATTTTTTCTTTTGGGCGTGCAAAGCGTCAGAGAGATCCTCGAAATTTAGACCTTTCAGACCGCGGGTTGGAAACGGAGGCACTCCGCTATTTGTGCTTCATTGGTACTAACGAGTCGCTGGCAGAAGCACATGTGCCTCTTATCCTGAGAATCCAAGTGGAGAGTATTTGTAAGTACAGAAAACTCATATCTTGTGTCACCCATCAGTCAGAATCCTGTGTAATTTGAATTTCAGATATAGATTTCGTCCCACGTATAAGACAACCACATTGCCATGAAGGATTTGTTTGTTTCTACAAATAAATAAATGATTCATATACTACTTTCATGACGAGAGAAATCCTATTGGTCTTTTGATTTTCTCTTAGGCACTTTTCGTTTTACGAAGAATAACTTTCAAGAAAATATTTTCTGAGTTTTCCGGTGTTCGTTTCACGGAGTATAAACTATCCATGGAAAACATTTTCCCTCAATTGACAAAACACCTTCAAAAGTGAGGAAAATATTTGGATAAGTACAGCACAAGTGCCATAACTTTTGTACGGAGGACACTTAAGTGCCATAACTTTTTTGGCTCACTTGAGTGCCATAACTTTCAAAAAAGATCACTTAAGTGCCACTTACGAGCTGGTCGTGAGGGCCAGAAACCGCAGCTTTTCAGGCCGAACAATGACCTTCCCAGTGAGGCAAGCACCACCAGCTTGAAGAGGGGGTGTCGATGAATCATTCCATGGCCTCCGTTTGTCTCGAAATTTCCGTTTTAGCCTCTGTTGACGAAGGTAAAAATGTTTCGTAATCACACATTTATCGAGCCAATTTGTGTGACTACGAAGCATTTTTACCTTCGTCAACGGAGGCCAAAACAGAAATTTCGAGACAAATGGAGATCATGGAATGATTCACCGACAACCCTCTTCAAGGCTGGTGGTGCTCGCCTCACTGGAAGGTCACCGTTTGGCTGGAAAAGCCGCGGTTTTTGGCCCTCATGACCAACCCCTCGACAAGCTAGTCGTGAGGGCACAGAACCGCGGCTTTGCGGTCGAACGGTGACCTTCCGGCGAGGCGAGCACTACCAGCTTGAAGAGGGGTGTCGGTGAATCATTCCATGGCCTCCGTTCGTCTTGAAATTTCCGTTTTAGCCTCCATTGATGAAGGTAAAAATGCTTCGTAGTCACATAATTTATCAAACTGATTTGTGTGACTACGAAGCATTTTTACCTTCGTCAACGGAGGCTAAAATGGAAATTTCGAGATGAACAGAGGCCATGGAATGATTCACCGACCGCCCCTCTTCAAGCCTGGTGGTGCACGCCGCCGGAAGGTCACCGTCTGATCGGAAAAGCCGCGGCTCGTGCCCTCACGACTAGCTTGTCGGAGGTTATCGTGAGGGCCCGAAACCGCGGCTTTTCAAGCTAAATGGTGACCTTCCTGGCGAGGCAAGCCCACCAGCTTGAAGAGGGGGTGTCGGTGAATCATTCCATAGCCTCCGTTCGTCTCGAAATTTCCGTTTTAACCTCCGTTGACGAAGGTAAAAATGCTTCGTAGTCACACAAATCGGCTCGATAAATGTGTGACTACGAAGCATTGTTATCTTCGTCAACGGAGGCTAAAATAGAAATTTCGAGACGAACGGAGGCCATGGAATGATTCACCGACACCCCTCTTCAAGCCGGTAGTGCTCGCCTCACTCGGAAGGTCATTGTTCACCGGAAAAGCCGCGGTTTCAGCCCTCACGACCATTTCGTAAGTGGCACTTAAGTGATCTTTTTTTTTAAGTTATGGCACTCAAGTGAGCCAAAAAAATTACAGACTTAAGTTGTTCTCCGTACAAAAGTTATAAAGATACTTGGCCAGTACTTACCCCTCCCCCCTTTTTAGACCCTAAGATGGATGTCCCTTACCGTCGTGTGCGTTTTGGTGTCCCCGTAGACCAAGACAAGGAGGAGGTCGTGTTGGAGATAAAGAAGCTAGGTCTAACCCCAATCCGTTTGCTTGTAATCGGGAAAAGGGCTGTAAGAACGGCCTTGTAATTAGAACTTTAGATATTAAGTGTTTTCCTTACTATCCTATTTTGTTGTTTGTTGTTGGGTGTAAAGAAGTACACTTCCGCATGTGCATAATTGAAAGATAAAAGAAATGGGTCGGTGACGCCTCCTGGGACGTCGCAATTCAATGACCTCGAAAGATGTCACGCGCCCGCAGCTTGGGGAAAATAAAAAGGAAAGGTTCAGGGCGTGACATATATGTTCACTACAAGTCCTAAAACTTGTCACGAAAGTGCAATTAAGTTCCAAAACTTGCAAAAAGTGCAATTAAATCCTGAAACTTGTCAAATTAGTTCAATCGAGTCATAAAGTTAAGTCCGTCCAATTTAGCTAACAGAAAATACTGATGTGACACTAACGTGATTTTTTTTGTTATTATTTTTCTATCTCGATGGCCCTCGCTGAGGCGCTGGTTACCCTGTCGGCCATCGCTGCCGCTCCACCGGTCATCATTTTCATCTTTTAACTTTAGTTTTTTTTTATTTTTTGAATTTGTTTTTGATGGAAAGAAAAAATCAAAAAAGGAAAAAAGGAAGAAAAAAATAAAAATAAAATAAAAAGACGAAAATGCCCTTGATCCAAGTGAAGTCAGGCCTTTTTTTTTAGACTAACATGGCCACTTCAGACCGTTATTTGAAGCAAGATTTACTTCAGGCAGTTATTTGAGAAACTTTATGCCCTCATTTGACATAAGGTCCACTTCAGGCCCTTATTTGAGAAAATAAGGGCACTTCAATCTCTTATTTAGATTTTCCCCAAAAGAGATTCACGACATGTATATGAAGAGGAGAGCCTCATTGACTAGCCAGTCGATAAGACTACATTTTCGGCTCAAAAATTGATGATTGTAGATTCAATTTTTGCCTAAAATTTAGGGAAAAACATCAGAAATGTCATAAACCTATTAATGGTGCTAATTTAGTCATAAACCTTTTGATCTAGAGCTATTTTAGTCATTTCGGCTAATTTTTGTAGGATATTGTTGATGTGGACGTCCGCCAGCTTACATTAACAACTTTTAATAATATTTTTATATTTTTTATATTTTTGATTTATTCTTTTATTTATCCTTTTTTTTGTCTTTTCTTTCTCTTTTTTGTTCCTTCCCTTCGTTCTTCCTCTAACCAATCGTCGAGGTCCAATGACCAGCCAAAGGCGTGGGTCGGTGAGTGCGAGCCTCGCCATGGTTAGGCGAGGCTCCACCTCGCTAGAGGCCACAAGGGCGGCCTTGCGCTAGGCTGGTGAGGGTCGAGCCTCGCCATGATTGTGCAAGGCTCGACCTTACCAGATTCGAAGAGGTCAACCTTGCCTCTGACTGATCACTCAGGTGAGGCCAGCCCTCGCCGACCACCAAAGGAAAGAGAAGGAAAAAAAGAAAGGAAATAAATAAATAAAGATTAGAAAATTATTAAAATATTACTAGAAGTTATCCAAGTTAGTGGCGGATGTGGTATGTAGGCCGACCAACGTCCACATCAGTAATATCTGACCAAAATTAGCTGAAAAGAACTAAATTATCTTTAGGTTAAATGTTTAAGACTAAATTGGCACTATTAAAAGGTTTATGACTAAATTAGCACTATTGTAATAGGTTTAGGACTTTTAAGACACTTTCCCCTTACATTTAAGTGGGGCCATGGTGGCGAGTTATTGTGTCATGCCCCGAACCTCGAGCACGCTAACATCCCGCCAATGGTCGTGAAATGGAAACATCCTAGGACACGTCGCCGACCCAATTGAACTGACTTACGATTAAACGCATGCGGAAGCAATTATAGTCCACCCAATCACAACAACAAGGATAGTCAGGAAAACACACCACAATAAAAATAACTTCATCAACAAAACATCGGGTTAACATAATACAAGTCCGCCATGCGGACCTTCCCCATTACAACCACAAAGGTAGGGGGTTAACCTATCTCCTCTACCTACGAGGTGATCTCAAAAGAAGTTTGACCCCTCGAATGGGTACTTAGTCACCTCCTGGTCCCGGTCAACAGGGACCCCAAAATCGCACGTGGCGATTTTTCATCACTTAGGGCCTGAAAATGGTTAAACAACAACAATGAGATAAACTCAGCGAGTTAACAACCTAAGCCTCGATTAGGAGGTCAACCCATCTCGGATGCACCTAAAACATGCGACTCAGCCTGACGTACACAAGATACCATCACATAATCATAGGTAACCTTATCTTGCCTTGGCATAGGCCCTGCACGTTATAACATCATGTACCATGATAATTCCATAAGCATATAAGGTAGTCAGAATACGTAGCAACTTTCCCATGCACGCACAATGCATCCACACGTGTCCCGATTATAAGGTGAAACCGCTTCGGCCTGTCCCATACCATGTCTCACAATTTCATCCCATAATCAAGCACGATGCCACCATAATCTTTCATGCCTATTCCGATTACTACAGCCACACAGGGCACAGCACAACCCGCGTTATTCACATCAGGTTGGCGGTCTTCCGGCATAACCGGGCATCGTCCCACCCCGTCGAGCACGGCATCGTCTCACCCTACCTTAATGACGGCATCCCATAAATGGGTTCGTTCCGAATCCAATTCACGAACAACTTCGTCTCCCTTGCCCCTACAACGGCATCCAAGTACCAAATTGGGGACACCTGTTAAGGCTACGGCCAAACCCTAGGTTGGCGGTCATCCGATATAACCGGGCACGAAAGGAACCTTTAGGTGATCATGCACACATAGCAATCACTCAAGTCCCATTGTTATCTTTCTCAATTAGCCAATGCAAACAGGATCCGTGCTAATACGTCAAAATATTGCAACTTTCACACGTAAAAAGGCACTAGAATAATCACACGTGATAATGTGCATATAATTAAACCATCAAACTTTACATACTTCCCAATTCAAACATCCATGCCCTATCTAGCTCATAAAAATTGATATACAAATCCGATACCTTGGAATTTACTGTTCATGTGTCCGCAATTCCATCCTTAAAAATAGGAATATAATTCATTTAGCTATACAAGCTAATTTATACGGTAATTTCCAACATAGGCATCACAATTCAAGCCTAAAATAATCACAA